GCTGGGTATGCCAGCACAGATCTCACTCCGTCTTCTGTCTCAACTTTGTCATATACGTCAAAATCCTCTTTGTCTGCCTCGAACGGGTGCCCAACTAGCAGAAGCAGTATCCCTACAACTTCTTCCTACAGCTTTGGAGATGCTTCTGGATCGTATGAGGACAATCACATCCCAGTCATGGTGTCACTGGCGTACAGTGGCAACCTCAATGCCTCCCAAAATGATACGGCGGCGTCACAACTAAAGGCAGCTTCTAATGTGGTTACTGTTCCAATCCAGACCTCAACATCGTTTCCAGAAAGACAGTTGCATCCTTCAAGTTTTGGAGACCGGAGCATTCCTATACCCCCACCGTCATCTAAGGCTGAGCCTTCTGGTGAAGCGTATACCACCTTACCCGCCACGCGAACTCATGAAATTCCATCAATGATTGTCAACAACACAGCTACTCACACCCCAATTGAATCACAAGCAGTCCTTGATCGGAGAAGCCTTATTCGAGACTACCTTCACCATATGAGGCCCATGAATACAAGCTCTTCATCCCGTGTCAGTCGCGCCGACCTCTTGTCCAACAAGGTTTCTAGATTCGCTTCACCCTCTGAGGACATGGTTCCTCTTCCTTCCTTTGAATCAACTGAAGATACTGCTGCTGTAGTAGTCTCATGGCCACCTGTTTTCTCTCTTCCACCGCGGATCAAACGAGGTTCAAAGAATGTGTCGCGTAATCTACAAAGTTTGGATCGCAGCGATGTTTTGAACAATGATTCATCTGGTATTCAATCTCCAACCGCAGATGAAGTGCCGATTCCTGCAGCTTACTTTTCCATCGCCGGCCATGAATCAGCCATGCATACTAGTAGCCAACCAGGTTTGCCAGATGTTCTTGCTTCACGCCAAGTCATGGATGATTACACTTGGTCTCCATCTACAGATAAAGCGTCCATTCCAGCCCCTTACTTTTCTAGTGAGAACAAATCAACCATGGAAACCAGCCAGCCATATTTTCCACTCACTTCGGGCCAAGTCATGGGTCATCACACACGGGTTCCTGGCCTTCAGATATCTAAAATCGATGATGTGCAAGCTGCAAATAGTTTTCTAAATCCTCAGTTTATAAAGGTTAATAAGAAAGTCTTTGAAGAAATCCCCAACGAACATGTCATCCCTCAATCCTCCGAGGAGTTTGAACATCCTGGGGACGTTGATTCCATGATTCGTGTCATCAAGTCCTTCGATGACTACCAACACTCCGTGGTTCACCCCAACATCACTCAAGTCAACACACATGCTAGAAATGCATTCGGGGATTGCACAAATTCCTTCGTAGGTCAATCTCAGGTACCAATAGGTCTACCTCCCGGTTTACAACATCCGAGGTGGTCACAACCAGAAGGACCCATTATACGACCTGTGGAATTGCCGTTGTACCCAAACGGTAATTGTGAGTGCTTCAGATGCGCTGTTCCAGTCCAACGAGTTGCTCCGTCAGGTGACTCTGATATGGACTTGCCATCTGCTAGACTTCAGAAATGGCTGGACGAGCAGCAAGCTCGTGCAGCTGGAGGTAGCAATGGTGGTGGTTGAGTCCAATGAGTTGAACGATCCGCGGGTGCGTGAGGAGGCTTTAGTATCCTGTGCAACTGCTTTTCTTTAATTTATCTTTACAAATGTCAGTTTCACGGTTATGAGAATTACAGTGCTTTCATCAGTGTATAATAACGATGGAGAAGGATTTGATGATACTGTAACAATCTTGTCCTTTCAATTGTATTCTACCATCGTGATGCTAGTATCTCGCTTTATGCGTTGAGCTCGAGAATATATCCTTTGCCTAGCTGTTCAAGTTCGTCGCAAGGCATGATCAATTCGTGTTCAATGTTCAATCGTGATGAAAAACATTTTAGTTGTTTCGACACAAACTTCATCTTTTTTCAAACTTTCATTGAATATCCAGCTCCTTCAAAGCATTTGATAATTAAAGCCTTACGAGTGAAAAGTGTGCACTAGTGAGTGATGAAATTATTATTGCAGAAATTTAAAAGACAACATATGAAGCAAGAGTTCGAGATAGAATAGGTATTGTCCAAATACAACTATTATCGGTTCCGATACAGATAGTTCCTATATAACATAGATCCACCAGACTGCGAGAGTTTGAATTCAGCCTCGAAATTTGGTAGAGAAGCTCTAGTTATTCACCTGATTATCATAGTTCCCCGGACCAATCTGAAATACCGCACATCTCGCCCAGCTCTAACCATTGTTCCTTCTGTGTATTATCATAGTGCCTTTCAAAGCTCCGGATGCACATCGGACACAGATTCTGTTCTTCGGCCTCATTACGAAACCAGAACGATGTCGTGAAGTTGTTGGAAGCTTGTAACCAGAAAGTATAATTGTTCTCGAGAATATTCGTCCATGCTTCCTTGCATCTTGACAGAGTGTAGTACTTCGGACTTCTATCCTGAAGAATTAAAGGTTTCAATAAGCGAAGATTATTCTCGCGTAGTTGAGCTTCCATTGAGACGATCGTGCCGAGGTCGACAGAGGAGAGCTTGCACCGAATGAGATTTTTGAGGTGTGTCAAACGGATATTGTGCACAGATGTAGAAGACCTGAGGCAGAATAGATGGCAGATTGCAATTACGGGCAAGGGGAATGATGCTGATGATTTCCTCGACGTCACTAAACTGGATAGGAATGTTACCGCCAGCCTCGGTATCTTCATCCTCTTCGGAGGATAATCCGGGCAACGATGATTCGAGGGCAAGTTTTTCAAAACTTGAAAGTGACTTGGGAAAACATTCTTCGAATCGATGAACCGATTCATCCCGTAGTTTATCAAATTCGTACTTTATCTCAAGGCGGAGTGGCTGCAACATCCTTGAATGGTAAAGAACGTCTTCCCTGTTCGTAACTATAAATCTGAGTCTCCAGAAATAGATAAATAGGATAAGTATATAACCTACTGTGATATACTATCATAAAGTGCGGAAAGCATTGCGCGCACCTCCTCTACGGTGTCTAAGAGCGGCATAATGGGGCATTCATCATAAAGGTAGTTATCATCGGCAGGTCTTGGGATTCCAAGCATGTCACGGAAGACATTGGAGTGCAGTGATAGAACAGAGCCATGAACCCGAAAGGCAATGTTTCCTGCTACCAGAACGACGTTTCCATCGGGAAAATAATACTGAGGGTGACGCAGGAAATGTACATGCACAGCTGGATATGCCATTACTCTCCCGCTAGGACGAACTGTATACCATTCATATGTGTTCAAAGTTAGTTATCCGATCATACAAACTACCACTGAAGGGTCGTACCTGTAATTATAATGCATGTAATGTTGTACTACTTCAACAAGTCGAAATGTGACTTTCAAAATGATTTTGCGTATCGCAAGATACCGACAATTATGTCAGCAGATATTCGAATTCCTTTGAACATTTGGATCTCGGACCCTCAATAAGATGAGCAAAGGTTCATCTACATTCCTTTCACGCAGCATAGTTTTTGTATATATTTTCGTAATATGCAACAAGAATGAATTTGGCGATTCACGACCCATACGTAGTATGACATGAGAAACGGACATTTCGTTCGGTTCGAACATCTATTTGTATAGCGAACAGGGACTTTCATTAAACAGTCTTACACAAATCTACACAACGCAAGGAAAGATTAGATATCTGATCTCGTAATTGAACTGAGACAGGCTACTATTTACCTGCATTCTACGTCACAGTTCTCCAGGCCAATCCGGAATATTGCACCATTTACCCAACTCTAGCCATTGTCTTTTGCGTTCCACATCATGAAGTTCCAGGAAATGTTCAATACAATTTGAACATAGAGCATCCTGTCCGGCGGCAGATTTGAACCACGTTGTCATGTTCATGAAGATATCCGGAGTATACAGCAATGGTGAGTAGCGCTTTTGCAGAATAGACCTGAATGCTCCCTGGCAATCATCGTCGGTGTCGCATACTGGGCTGGTGTCCTGTAAAACAAGAGGTTTCACCGCTTTGAGATTTTCCTCTTGTAGTTGATATCCTAGCGAGATTATGGTTTGAAGGTCAGCATGCGAGAGATTGCATCGGCTCAAAGATTCAACGATCTCCGTCACAAATGAAAATTGTGCACATAGATAATAGACTTGAAGAAGAACGGTTGTTATGCCACATTCGTGTGCAAGTGGAATGATGCTGAAAATTTCCTTTTATCGCTGAATCGAATGGGAAGAGAGTCATCGACCTCGTCGGATGGCAACCGTAATCCAGGAAGTGAGCTTTCGTGTTTCAGCAGTTGGAAACATGATAGTTTCGTTGGAAAGCATTGTTTGAATCGATCAACCGCTTCATCGCGCAATTGATCAATTTCGTACTTTACACCTAGTCGAAGCATGACTGCGACGTCATTGAAGGGTAAAGGTTTTCTCCCTTGTTTAAAACTAGAATGAATGAATAAGCCCATTGAAGATCAAGAAACGACTTGAGGGAAGTATAGGACTTACTTCGATATACTATCATAGAGCGCAGACAGCATTATGCGTACTTCGTCTGCGGTTTCTGAGAGCGGCACAATGGGACAATTGTCATAAATATGCTCATCATTTGAGGGTCGAGGGATGTTAATCATATCACGGAATATGTTTGAATGGATTGACAGGACACCACCGTGAACACGAAAAGCATCATTCTCTGCTACTAAAACGATGTTTCCATCTGGAAAATAATAATGCGGGTTGTGTTGAAATGAGTGCTGCACGCTTTGTCCGTTCATTTCTTGACTATATTTCTTGAATTAGGGCTGAAATTGCGTTTTTATTATCAATGGATTGACAAGAATCTGAGAGGTATGAGCTTTACCGATGTAAGATATTGAAGAATACAGTAACATGAAGGAGAAGTTTTTGGGCGTCGAATTCCATGTTCCTAGCAGTATAATCTTCGAAAACCAACCGAGATATAATACTTGTTAGGTACAAAAGACATGGCCGGCTAGCTCAGTTGGTTAGAGCGTGGTGCTAATAAATTGGTGTTGGTGGCGACAGGGGTTCCTTTCCTGTGGTTGCTGATGCCCAGTTACGCCAAGGTCGTCGGTTCGACCCCGGCGTTGGCCATTTTACCCGTCGGAGTTGGTAGATCACGTGTAGTCCTATTTTTTGGAGGCGTGACAGGCACGAGTGGATTGTGGCACGTGACGGTTTTCTTTATTCGCATCACATTTGAATTTTGAATTGAAGGATTTGCTTTGATCTGACCCGGTGTGTTGCTATACCATCCTCGGGCTTCTACTACTCATTGACAAAAACACGGCGATAATTGACTCGTTCAGCTTCGCCGGTACCGACTAAACGAACTTCCACTAAGTCTTGCGATTGTGAATTCTTGCCACCACCTCGTAGGATTCATGCTCAATGACTAAAAGACGCAAAGTCCGTATCATGCCTATCGTGGGATCGACGGTACCACCCGCAACAACCTCGAACTCGAACACCTTCCTCCTCAATTCCAAGTACGTATATACGTTTGAAAATTTCCACTTCAGTCATCCATAGTTGTTTCTGACCGAATGATACAATCGGATAGGTCCCCCATTTTCAATTTCAGGCCCTGACAAAGACGTTTTCGAAGCTGAAAACTACTCACACCTCGGGTTTCGTCGCATGCAATGTACCTTCTAATGTGTATATCATGACGCACATCTTCCTGAGGACAACAACTTTTTTGAGGTTCTTCAGTTTCGGATCGTATCACCTATGGACATTGTCGTTGTCAACGCCGAGGTTGTCCGTCTCTGTGGAACAATGTCCTTTTTTCGAAGGATTCGGCAAGGAAGCAAAGCACAGTCAATGATTCGCAGTGTTTTGCTGCCGTTACTATTTCAGAAATCAGGGTGGAGGCCGAATTGTATAAAAGCTTCAATTTCTAAAAGCCATTCACAATCCAAGACGAATCTCTTCCTTCTTCTTTTCTCTGCACAGTCATCTCCTCGATTCCTCTTTCAATGTCTACCACGTCGGTATTCCATCCAGATTCTTATGTCGCTTTCGCTTTCACTGAGGTGAATGGCGGACTTGAACGGATAGTCGTACCTTGGAAAGACCCACAACCCGGTCAAGTCGTCGTCAAAGTTCTCGCATGTGGTATTTGCGGAAGGTGAACTCATTCATTCCTATCTAGTCGTCAATCAGCTCATTCTAATGCCTGATGTACGACCTCGATATTCTAGTGACGAAGGTGTCAAATCTCAACTATTCCAGGGTGGCCTTCCTCGAGTCCCAGGACACGAAATCATCGGTGAAATAGTCACTATCCATCCTTCAGAAACAAACTGGAAGATCGGTCAACGTGTCGGCGGCGGTTGGCATGGTAGTCATTGTGGTCATTGCAACAACTGTCGAGACGGAGAATTACTCATTTGCAAGAGTGGAAAAGCTAACGGTAGGCAAAGTTTCTTGGCTATCCTGAACGGTTCAACTTATGGATATATGTTTAGGTGTCCATATTGATGGAGGGTACGCTGAATATGCTACTCTGTACACTGAAGCTCTGGTGAGAGTCCCGGACGATATGGACCCAGCGGAAGCGGCACCGATGGTATGTGCTGGCGTAACCACATTCAGTGAGTAAATGGTTCAACGAACATGACTTATCCGAATTCTTCTGAACGGCAATGACAGATTCGCTGCGTAATATGGACATCAGACCTGGAGAAACCGTTGCAGTTCAAGGCATCGGGTGGGTCTATCTTCCACCGTTGTTATTACGCTAAAAGAAACGCCTCTAAATGTTCGTTTTCTTCCATGCAGTGGTCTCGGACATTTGGCTATCCAATTCTCTCGAGCGATGGGATATCGTACAGTCGCTCTTTCATCTTCACCCCACAAAAAGGGGTTGGCAGAAGAACTAGGAGCACATCATTACATCGACGGTTCACAAGTTGATCAAGCTCAAGCTCTTCAAGAATTAGGAGGAGCGAAAGTTATCATGTGTACCGCTCCTCATCCAAAGGTCATTCAAACCCTTCTAGGTGGTTTGGCAGTTGGAGGACAATTGTTGTTACTGGCTTTGCCTTCTGGAGCTATTCAAGTCGACATCCGTGCGTACACGCCATGTCTCATCTCACTCAAAGTTTATTCTAATGTGTTCGTCTTATCCTTCACACTTATAGTCCAAATGTGTTTCAGTAAATTGTCGATTCGAGCATGGCCTGCTGGTACTGCGAAAGATAGTGAAGAGACTATAGACTTTGCTCGTCTGACCAACATTCATCCTATGATAGAGAAGTTCCCGTTAGAGAAAGCCAAGGAGGCTTTCGAGAACCTTTCAAAGGCGAGGTTCAGGGCTGTCTTGATTCCTTGAATTATGTATCACACATCGTTAGACCATTAGATTGCATACCCTTCTTTCTCCTCCGGAATCCACTTATGTATAGTAGACTACGCTAGAATATAGATTGTAGACATAGAGCGTAGCGTTGTAGAATGACATCCATGCATATGGTGTCCACTGTTCGAGCTTGAATTCTTCGAATTCTGATCGACACAAACATTCTAGATGGATAAAACTTCGGGTGATACACATTGGTCTGATTGTCAATATACGTCTAACTCGAGAAATACAAAAGTTCTCATCAAGGACATGATGAACAACATCAAGTGCAAAAGCGATTATATAAATAGCAAATCTTTAAACATTTTCTTTGAATCTTCAATCCTTCCAATATCCTTTATGAAACGTACAACATAAGCCAGCCATCATGATCAAGGGTAAATTTGAATCCTTGTTAAGTTTGAAAGAAGGCATCATGACTTAGTGTAGACCTTCAGAGCATTCTGACCGAATACAGCATCGATGGTATCATGTTCGACGCCTAATTCAGCGAAAGATTCTCGAGCGAGTTCGTACCAATCCCCAGCATTAGACGCGGAGTGAGATAAAGGTGATGGAGAAGAACCATAGATGATACGTTCGAAACCAAATGCTTCTAGAGCAGGGCCGACTGTTACAGAAAAATCCTGATCAGACTCTGCTTTCTAGCCGTACGAAATTGAAAGAAAACTTACTGTACATCTTAATCCTCTTCTTCCATTCTTTCTTCTCATATGAATCTCTATCAACTACTTGTACACCGTCTTCACCGACGTCAACACCACTATCAATCGTAGGCGTATCAGCCGATGAAGGAGCCGAAGCAGGAGCTGGAGTTGGTGGCGTTACCGCTCCCCAGATGGGAGGAATGAACTTGATATAAATATTGGCGTTAAGAGATAGAGCGGCAGTCCTGGACTGGTAATCACGATACGTTGGGTGTGTCAAAAGCTTGACGATGGGTAAGGAGAAGTCATCCGGTGGAGGGAGGATATTAGCTGTAAGAAATCAGGAAGCAAATGAGTCAATTAAAATATAGATATTTGGACAGAGCAAAATAGACGAACAAAGGATGACATTTCCGGGGGGTGTTGGAGAAGTGACTGGGATCGCCTTGCTGAAGAAATCTTCTAATGTCTCCCATGCAGCCTCACTACTTCGAAGATCAGATTGTACATCCAGATCTACATTAAATCCTTTCTCCAAGGCCCACTTGAGGGTATCGATGGCAATGGGTGTGGACTGGGAATATGTTGAGGCAAGGACAATCGGTGGGGAAGCAGTGGTAGAAAGGTATACAGGTACTTCTGCGGGTATTCCACTGTAAATATCGAATGGCACAAGGATAGCAAGAATAGGTGTTGTAGAAGATGTCGCTGAAGATGAAATTCTAGATCAAACCGCGATCGTAAATTCAAGCTACCAATGTGATAAGACCGGAATGAACATACTCTGAAACCAACTTCTCCAAACTCCCTTCAGGTGCTCCGATCAGCGATACTACAACTCCAGATGCTTTGTCTTTCAACACTGGAGCCGTTTCCTCAGTCCATTTGGTAAGATCATTGGTCTGGATGATGACATTCGCATCTACAACTTTTGTAGGGTGTATCGTGCTCGGACTTGCAGGTAGAGGAAATTGTTCTCCTGTTCCTGTGTTTGGAGGCGTAAAAGCGGAGAGTGGCAAGGTAGGATGTTTCCATCCTTTACGACGACCTCCAAAACCAGGTGATAATGGACCAGACATGAGTGATGAGATTGAGCAATTTGACTAGGATGGGATCGCAGAGAACTTGAGTTTTAGATGGCTAGAATCGTGAATTTAAGGGGAGAAGATGGGAGAAGGGAGATAAAAGCAAGAAATCTTGACGAGCTGATGGGAGAGAGGAGGCAGTATATCAAGGTTAGGCGCTCGATGATGTAGAAGGAATCTTTCCTTCGTCGCAACATCCCTGCACTTTTTACACTGCTCACAGCAGATTACACGACTTCATCACCGTCGCAAACAGCGACAAGGATATGAGCGGAACCCTGGTGCCTTGATTGTCTTACACTGCCGAACGATCGTTACCATCCTCATCCCACTTGGTCCCCGGAGATTCAGTAGAATGTCTTGCCTTTGTTTCTCAATTGTGAGCATCTTTCTTAACAAGAGAATGATTATTGACTATCATTGTATTATCTATGTGCAGAATTGATGCTAATCAATATCATCAGTGTGAGTGTTCACAGTTATGAAAGAAACCTCGCGTACACAACTCCGGAATCTCTGCTTACAGTTCATCGTCATTAGCTTAATACAGGATGCATTGGCACTCGCTGTCAAACTGTCTCGCATATTCCATTACGATCGGCACGAGGATGTCAACTATCGATGCATTGACATCTCGTTGGCAAGTCAATGCGTAGACGCATCAACAGACAACTATTGTAGGTTGCACCGCCGGTCTCAGTAGCATGGTCAAAGATAGCAGCTAAAGCTAGACCTGAAACGCTCAATCCAGACTCTCAGGACCTCAAAATGAATAACTCTGAACATACCTCGTCAATGGATTCCGAATCGGGTGCACAGCTCATCACCACGTTGATACCGTAAAATCTCTCGTGCTTGTAAAAGACCTTTGATTATGGACCAGCGTGAGTTGAGTCTGGTATTATCCGAACCAGTCACGTTGAGCTTACCCAGAAGTAGAAGAAACTCATTGCGTTCTTGCCCAGTAACTTGGCAAGGGAGGATAACCGTTGA